GAGATATGACACATGACCACTTTTATGTCTTCACCCTGTCTACCTTTAATTAAGAACCAAAATTTAATAGTATTAATGCCCCTTTATACGCAAGCTACAGTGCCACATTTCGTTTCTTAAACTTTACTCGTTCTGAGATATTGTTTAATATCTCAGAACAGAAAATAAAGAAATTAAACAAATTAGACGCCAACACACACGCGCGCGCGAATTTTTCCCCTTTATTGACTTTTTTGAGAGGGTTCGGGAGGTCTCCTAACGTGTGGATTTGCAAAAAAATAAAAAATAAATAAAAAACTTGGAGGGTCAAATTTGACACGATTCCAATACTTTTCCGTTTTATATACATAACAAGCTGGTAAGTAAATAGGAGTCGGAGTCAGCGGATTTTTTGACGACTCCGACTCCAACTCCTGCTAAAACATCAAAACTCCACAACTCCGACTCCGACTCCACAGCCCTGATTTTTCCATATATGTCAGCTGCTTGGGCTATATTCTCCGACAAGCTGAAGCAAAACACACCACTGATAATGGGGGAAAAAGCCTCGTTCAAATACTGGCACATCCTTATTAAATTAAGTACCCTCTCGACGTGCGTCGTCCTGAATCAGAACTTTTTTTGATACTAGAGTAACTTCCGAAATATAATTTTTTTTTTCAATATATTTATTTTGTTTGTGCAAAATAAAAAAATTTTTTTTTAATGATACAATATGGTTGCACCAGTGCTGCCAGCTAAATGCATACCAACATAAATAATATTGGAGTAGTCTAAGACACAGCCAAATATTGCAGTGCCACAGCACTAGCAGAAATTTGAATTTGCTGACTGGAATGCTTTTGGTTAACTGATATTTTAATTGATTGGTATTTGGATAATCGATGCTCTACTATAGTTTAAGTTTATTAAATTACCTTAACATTTGCTTCTTTCATTTCTACCAGTCTTGTTAAATCACTTTTGGTTGCTTCCATATCACACTTCAATAAATTAAAAGTGCCTCGTACAAGAAGCGCTTCTGCTAATCTTTCACCATTTCTTTCAATTTCATCAGTGCAAGCTGGAATAACTTCTTCATATTGTTCTTCAGCCAATAAATGTATTACTAATTCATAGCCCCTACAAAAGTAAAAATTTAATAATTCCATCTTATTTTTTTGTATATATTCAAATAATAATTTTTATATTTATATAAAATTTTCAAATACAATGACACCTCATACTTCAAATGCTCCAGAGTTTGAACTCTAAATTTGAGAAAAATTCAAATTTGGGGTTCAAATGATGCCTCTAAGTTCAAACTGCACATATAGCAAACAAATTCACTCACTTCATGAATGCTATCTGTTGTGCATTCAAGTTCTCTCTCTCTCTATGAAAGCATTTCTCTTGCATTACACTCATGTGTTTTCAGTACTTTTTTTTTTGCTTTACTTTTAAATGTTTGGTTATATATCATCAGGTCCATGCCATAAGGTCAGATGTCACTTTTCTTCTAACTGACAAGTGACTAAAAGTTACAAAAACAAGATTTTCAATGAAAACCTCCAATGAAAAGTTAGTATTGAAAAAATTCAGTCAATATAACAAAAATTAAAGTTTTATATGGTTTCAACTTTAATATATTAAATATAAAGTTTTTATATGGTATAAACTTTCTTCTGACTTTTCTGTAAAATTGTTCAAAATTGAGATACAATCTGCTGGCACTTGCCTAGTGATATATGAAGGGTCAGAAAATAAAAGGGCATAAGTCAAAAAAGTCAACTTTTGGGAAACTAAAAAACTTTGTAGTTTAGAATGTTATGATGATGTTTTTCTGCTTATGTAATGAAACAGATTGAGAGTTATATTTTACACACTATATGAAAATATAGTTGAAACTGAAGGATTTTCTGATAAAAATGATGCAAATTGATTTGTCTAGGACATTAATGTGATAAAGATAAAAGTATGTTATTTTTAGTGAAGACTTATAACTGCAGTAAACTCAAAATCAATACAAAGTGGCCCTTTTACACTCTGACTATTGATATAACCCTTACCTATTAACCATGGCATCCAAGAAGAATGTGAAAGCAACAAAGTCAAAGAGTTGTAGTATCAATTATTGAGGTAAAAAGGGAACTTACTGCAAAGCATGAAAACTGTATACATATGGCAGATCTGGCATTCATGTTTAAGATACCAAAGTCAACAGTGTGCACCATTCTTAAGAACAAGGAAGCAATAAAAGCAGCAAATGTGGCTAAAGGGAATAAATAACAGCTCTAAATGAATGGTTGGTATCTTATCAGAGCTGTAGACCATGCCCATAGAAATAAAAAAATTCAAAGAAATTGATACTCTACACAAGACCTGTTACAAAATAATTTGGGGGATATATCTGAAATTTTATGTGGTAAATGGAATAAAATTTTAAAGTGAAACAATCCAGAACTATTTCTCAAAACAATGCTAAAAATAAAGTATTTTCTACTTTACTAGAGATGCCCAAAAGCTCATAAATACAAGAAATACCATTGCACTGATTACTTCTGAGGCCTGAACAAAGTCATGTTGCACATTCCATTAAGCCTACTATGTGTTTATAGGCTGATTTTGGGGAATATATCTCACCCCAGGTTCCTTTGACTTTTTATTCTTTTTGGTCCCAATCTCATTCAGAGCTACAATTTTATCACTTTAATAAGAAACAAGAGGTCACCACTCCTCATAAAAGTACAATAAATGTAATTTTCATTTTATTACACAGTATTAAGATATTTTATTTATTGTTTACATATTTTAATTATTTAGGGCATTTAATTGTGATATTTTTATCTTAAATCATTTGTTTTCTAAGTTTATCAAAATGGGTATTGTTCAGGATCTGGAAATAGATTAATTCCTTTTCCATTGTTCCTAATTGTAAAATTGATTCAGACTTTAAACAATACACAGATTGAATTAAATTTGAAGTATAAGACACCATTGTACTTTTTATATAAAAATAAAATTTTAACCTGTAATAACAAAAACATATAAAATTTTTTCCTTAATGAAATAAAATTATTTTGAATAATTTTTTTATAATTAACAATAGAGTGAAGTTTTAACCACTTGTTCCCGAATTTTCATTTAGGAATTTTTACTAAGAAAAAATTAACTTTTTAATGTTTTTATAATTACAGTTTAAAATTAATTAAATATATGAAAACTATTTGCACCATAATATTAGTTAATTTTATAAGATATTTTTTATATTATAATTATCATAGGAATTAATTTTCATGTATTTGAAAAATAATTTAGCTACAAAAAAATTGCTTTTGTTGTTATAATACTGTACTAAGATATAACGTAGAACCAATTTAATGAAATAAAAATTGTAATAAATTAATTGCTCAAATTTTAAAAAGTATTTATTAAAAATATATTTACTGCTGAAGATACAAAAGGTGCTTTTAGAGCCTACCTATCCTGAATTAGTTAAATAAACCCAAAAATTTTTTATAATAACCAAATGTTTAATGAACATTAGGAAAATTTTAAAATATTTTAAATTTTGACTAATCTCTTTCAGCAATATATTACAAAAATAATATAAAATGCTATAAAATATGCATCTAGACAGTACTGAATTAAAATAACAGCAAAAGATGTAGTATAACTTCAATTTTTTTAATCATTAAAATAATTAATTTAAGAAATACCTTAATTTTGATGGATCTTTTCCTTCTTGCTTTTTATATTCCAAAACTTCTTTTAATACAGGATCATCACAAAACGAAATAAAGTAATTAGTGATAAAATGTTTTGAAGGCAGTTCTTTTGGTTGTGTCTAAAAAATAAAGATAATTTTTTAAATTATTGATTTAATTATCAGAAATCTATGCCAAATTCTGTTTTAATATTTAAAAAGAAATTTAATTTATTTAATTCTTGACTTGTTTAATAATTCATGATATGATAAGTAAATATTTTATATTTATCTTTCAAATATAAGCAATATTTATTTAAGTTCTGCATATTTTAATTACAATAAAACTTAATTCAAATTGAATAAAATCATTATTTTATGAATAATGACTTTATTAAAGTTGATTATATTTTTAAAATAATGTATTAGAAATAATTTTAAAAATTTACAATTTTTCACTCATCCCATTATTTTATCTTTATTTTGTGCAAATTCTAAAATTTGAATACCAATTTTTTATCAGAAACATTTTAAAAATAATTATATCTTATTTGACAGAACTCAAACTAACCTGAGATTAATTAATAACTACTTTGTATAATTAATATAATCCATATTATTAAAGTAATCAAATTATATGCAGTAAATAACCACTTCTTAAAATAAATGAAAAATTATTATTTATATCATCTTGGAAAAAAATAAAAAATGACAGATTAACATTAAATGATGAATGAATTCAATACTAATTCAAATTAAAAGTTAATATTTTTTAGTATAACTAATTTATAATTTTTATATATTAAGATACATTTGTTTCTATCAACTAATGATAAATTCCAACAGGAAAAAATTCTATCAACATTATTACAATAGATATTACAACCCTGCTTGCAATGAACTTCATTCACCATTTAAACTTTCAGAAATTTATATGAACTTAAAAGCTCTTGCATATATATTAAAGCAAGTGCTATTAATAATTCCTTTTGAAATTTCTAATTCCAATAACTTACTCTCGGATGTCATTGGTTCAGAATACATAGCTAAAATATAATATGCAAATCTTGCAACTACCTAGCAACACAATGCAATGAAGTTCATTTAGAAAGAAGTTTTGCAGAATTTTCTGGAATTTCTCATAGTTTTTCTTATATTATATATCTAGCATATAAAAGGCAAGTCAACTTTAACTGCTCATATTAACGTCTGTGAAAAATGGCAAGAGGTATGGCAGTACCAGAACCAATCAAGAAAATTATTATTCAGAAGTCTTTCAACAGTATTGTACAGGACATGCAGATAACTCAACAGTCCATGAAATCATAAAATATTTTCAAGAAAAGGTAAACACTTGTCCAGAAAAAGCTTTAGGAAGAAAATTACTACTCAGTTTCAGACAACTATGGTTGACTATGGTCAACTTTTGATACTATATTTCCCAAAGCAGGCAAGTTTCTGCAGCAGACTTGACAAAGTGGGAAAGTTAATATCTCATTATCTGAATGCAGTGTGGAGATATATCTGACAATGCAAATATAGGCTGTACAACCAAGGGAAAACCTTTCATAAATTCAAGTGCAGACATTTAGCTTTGGCCAGAACTCATTTGAAGTGATCAAATGCTAATTGGAAGAAAATACATTAATCAGATAAATCAACATTTCATGTAAACCATGGGAATATAGACAAGAAAGTCATTTGCACTAAAGATGAAGCTAATCCAGCATCTTATTCAAGACAAGTTCAAAAGCCATAATCTTTAATGATTTGGTGATACATGAGTGCAGAGGAAGTTGGGATTTGCATTTTTGTAATAGTGTTGTGAACTCTGAAGCCTGTATTCTAATCCTTCAGCAACATCTATGTGAATCAAAATGCAAACTATTCCAAAGACAAGACTGTATTTTCAAGCACAACAGCATCCATTTGCACAATGCTAGAAAAACCAAAGCTTGGTTACAGTCTAATCATATATACATACTCTCCTGGTCAAGATCAAGCCTGGATCTGTCTATGATAGAAAAGGTATGGCAATTTTTGAAAAGAAAGATGACTCAATGCAGTCCATATACATTAGAACAATTATGTACAGTTAACCCCCCTATAACATGGTAGATACGTTCCGCTTTATAAGAATTTTGCGTTGTAGGAATCCTTGAATACATGAGCCAATCACAGCCTGGCACGTGTGCAGTTTACGGACTACAGCTGTTTGATAGGTTTTCTTCCATAAAATTAATCAATTCTAGACAAATTTGACTCAACATTTCCAAAACATGTATAATTTTTTGGGAATAATCCGTATAAACTATGCTATAAACAAAAAATTGTAGTATTACTTACTGAGTGTGCACCGTTCGACGACACCATTGCTTAAGCTTGTTTTTGTTGCAAAAGCAGCGCACCAAATGGCAGGTGCGTTTTCTAATAAGTTATTTTTCTGCGAAAAATTCGTTGAACTTTGGAGACATCATTAATAGAAATAATTTTTATGGCTGTTGAATAAGAAATGTTTTTTTCACAAGAAATGTATAAAATTACAGTAGTGTATTAGACTTACAGTACCTAATTTATATACTGTACAGACAATAGTAAACTCAACTCTCTGTAGTGTGTAAGTAGTTCGGCTGCTCGTCCACTATTGGTCCAAATTCGACCAATCCTGTCGCGACAGGAGTCGGCGATGACGTTTTACCGCATTTTACGAGTCTCTTTTAACATCTTTATACGAATATGGTCGCAATTTTTTCGCCACGATATACAAATCCACATTATATGAACCTGCATTATAGGGGGGTCTACTGTATGTATTTAAGTAAAGAATGGAAAAAAATTTTAGGCATTGGGGCATGGAAGATGCAAACTTGTAAAGATACAAACTTATGCATAAGTTTGTAACTTATGCATAAGTTTGTATCTTCCACATCTCAATGCCTTGAACTCTTACAAAACAAAAAAGGTGATGCTATTCCATAGTTATTACAGAATCTTAACATATTGAATGAAGTTCAAAGAACTGTGTTGCAAAAGTTCTGAAGATTATAAATTACATATTTAATAAAGTATTTTCTCAAAATCTGAGTTTCTAATATGTTTTTATGATCTAAGCAACCACACTAACATAATAAATTCCTTTTAATTACAAAAATAAACATCTGTGCAGTGTGATATGAATTGTTTTAAGCTTTTATTGGTGAATGAATTCACTGGGACTTATAAAATTAATAAAATGATATAAGTCAATTGTAAACTGCTGTTTTAAATTTAAAATTTTTCCATCTTTTTTATAACAATAATCATCCTAAAAAAAATCACTACATACCATATAAATTAGAAACCAATAATCTTAAAGTTAAAAAAAAATTGAATATTTAATTTTAGTTGAACAATTGAAACTTCTACACCATTTTTGTTAAAGATCAAAATATTAACCTATGACACAAAGTTAATTCTCCCCTCTACAATTTAATGTTTTAACAATGGATTATGTAAATAAATAACTTTAAAAATATATTTTAAAGTTTTGAGATTAAAACTGCAATGACATATATTACTGCAGATGAAGAATAAAGGTGTTAATGTTTTATTAATCATGCTATATCAGAATGTTAATCTGATAAATGCAGATTTATATAATGCAGCATTTTTTAATAATATATCATTTACAGCAATAATAAGTTTTTTAAACATTTTTTATCTCTATCTTTTTAGAATTAATTGTTTTACAATTATTGATTAATAATGCAGTTTTATTATTTTTGTAATGATTTTTTCCTCTCATAATTTAAAGAAACAAGAAAAAATAAGTCTGTTATATGTAAATAAATTAATGTTTTACAAAATAAAAGAAAACTTAAGATAATTTATTTATATTATTTCATAAATTAATAGTAAGTTTTTAAAATCATGCAATTATTTTTCATTAGATGAAATACAGCAACCTCTCACTATGTGATACTCTTAACTGTGAGTATATTTTTTACTGATCCTGGCTGAAGCCTATGGAAGATAATGTCTAAAATCTCTCATTTTAACAACTCTCAGTTCTACATCTACATCTATTCAGACTAATGTGTTTTCCCTTTATTTTACCATCATGATTCTCAATCATAAGAACAGAGTGAGATCACTTTGCCATAGGTCAAACAGATGCCCAGGAAGATAAGAAAGCAGAGAGAATTATCATACTAAATATAATATCTGTTTTTAGAAAAAAAATGGCTGCTGGCTATATGTTTAGATAAAACAAGTGGTAATGTAATAAATCCCTTTAGCAACCATAGTCATGTATGTTCAGACTATTGCTGCATTCCCCTAAAGCTGTTGCTGGGTATATATTGACTAATAATTTTTATATGAATTTTGCATCAGACCAAGGTCATTTACATGCATATTTTTCAAATTTTGACAAACTGACCTTTCCTGATATGTATTCTAACTAACTATGTCAAAGTAACCTTTGGATGGCCAATGAAATTTCCAAAATCCATGTACTTCCAGTTTCTGCTCTATGCAGATTTTAACAAAAAAAAAAAAAAAAAATGGCTGTACTTCGGTCATGCAGACCCACTTTTGCAGCAAAACTTGGATATGCACTTTAATTTCTGGGTGGCATAGGTAGCAACATTTCCAGATTTAACTTTCTATTTTGAATTTAAAAGAAATAATGCTCCTAACTGTGGTATTCAATACTGAAAGGGTTGCAGTTATATTTTTAACATTTTTCATTCATGTTGGTCAATTTCTCTTTTGTACAACTCTCTCCCTTATACAACTTTTATCATTGGTCCCTTTAGAGCAGGGCTTCTTAAACTTTTTTATTCACGACCCCATTTATGATTGTGATTTTTTTCGTGACGCAAAAAATATAAAATAAAGATATATACAAATTTGCAAAAACAATAATGGTGTACTACCACAGTTCACTCTTGTGTTACAATGGTACAGAGACAACTGAATACACTGAAAAGTGACAACACTACACTAGTTCACACTACAATTAGTGTTGCTGAATCGTTGTCTCGCTGCACCAGAAGTGACACAAAGCGCAACTCACGAAACCTATGACACAAAGCGTGCCATTTTCAAACTCTCACAAATTATTTTCAACATTTTGCATTAAAATCTCGCAATCCCAAGATTTTGCTAAGTGATCCCAAATGGGGTCACAACCCATAGTTTAAAAAGCCCTGCTTTAGAGTCATACAACTGAGAGGTCACTGTACTTAAAACATCTTAAAATAATTAATTCACATTATTACTATTCTGTCATAAACAAGTAATTTAAATGACTTACGTTCACTAGTTCTTTTGCTTTTGCTTTACTTAAAGTCTTCAAAACTCTGTCAGTTGTTTGAAGTGTGTTCATATTTTGGAAATTTTCTAATATACAGACAGCTGTCAAATCTAAAAATTATACAATATTTATAAAATAAAAATTCAAATAAAATCAAATAATAAAATTCAAATAAAAACATTTTATAAAAAAGTTTTTATTTGAATTAAGATTATAAAAGTTTAACTTTTATAACCTTAATTCAAATAAAAACTATAAACTTTAACACATGTCATTAATTTAAAAATCTCATTTAAACAATGGTTTCATATGAATAAAAATTTTTGTAAAAATTTAAATAGGGAGTATTTATTTATTGTGACATCATCACAATGCCACTCTGCAATTTTTCATCACAAGCTCACAATTTTAGTATCATACTTTTCTTGTTAACAATGGAGTCATGCTGATTATCTAACTTCATTCAAGAGAAAATTTTCAAACTGAAATAATGTAACTTCCACTTTTTATAGTTAATCAGGTTCTCCTGCACCTAAGCTTTCTGTATCTGGATATCTGGTCTTGACTTTCATCTAACTCTGTTCTCAAGGTTAAGGAAGAACGCAAACACCAGTGGAAATTTATAGGTCTACAATTTTTGAAAATTGCAGCACAAAAAATATTAAATAATTATACTATTTTCCAAAATAATGAACTGGGATATGTTCAAAATTATTTTGATGCAATTGACAGGGAGAACACCAGATATAATCACCACCTATTTCAATGAGTTTAATATATATCATAGTACTACCCTTCTGGCAATTCACAGCAAACTAATCAATGCAACTCTCAAGCATTCACAAGAAAAATGAGTTAAAAATTTTCCAAGTTACATGGATAACATGTTAACAATGGCTTAGCCAAGTGGATAAGGTGTTCATCTACTATACTTTGTGCTGTAGGTTTCAATCTTACTTTTTAAAAGTTTTTCTAATCTGCATTTAAGTAAATTGTTGTGAGAAGTATTTTTCTAATTTTAACAAAAAAATTAGTATTTTGTTATTATAACATTATATTTCCAGAAAGACACAAAGAAAAAATATACAATAACAAAAATCTCCCTTGCAAGTTGGTATAGCAACATAAACAAGTGTCACATAATACAAACATTTTTACTTATTATAATTGTGATTAATCACTAATTTATATCATGATACCCTCAACCTGCTCACATTGCTACACCAATAATTCAAGACTAGACAAGGAAAAAACTTTCCATATGCTTGATAAATAAATGTTATAATGACAAATTAATAATTTTTCTTTGTTAAAAATATACATTGCACTTTACAGAAAAACTTTTAAAATAGTAAGATACAAACTTACAACATACAGTATAGTATATAAACACCTTATCCATTTAGTTACACCACTATTAACATATAGTAGTAGTCATATAATATAAACAAGAAACAGAAAATTTTTGAACTCATTTTTCTCATGAATGGTTGAAAGTTGCTTCAAGTGACTTTACTGTAAATTACTGAAAGGGTAGTTTTATTCATTCTTTTTTGGGAATAAAAGAATTGAATTATTAGCACAGAAGTTTTAATAAATGTTAATTGGTATGGATAACTGGCATGCAAAAAACCATGTTAAATATGATACGAAGATGAATGAGAAAATCTGGTGAAATGAAAACAAAGAATTATATTGATGATTTCTTGATGGTAAACTAGTGTTTTAGCAATATCTAGTACATATGTAATGTTTAGTGTATGTTTGAATTTTTTAAATATGTTCAACATGATTATTTTAAATATGTCTAGAATTTTAAATATATTAGTTTGTATAATAGAACAACCTACAAAATGTAAACTAATGAGGGCATAATGCATATTAATAGGATGTAAATTTGAAGTTAAGAATTTTATTGTAAAACTAGTGTGAGACCCCAAACTTTAATGAAAATATTCTTTTGATTTCATCATACCTATTTGGACAACTGATGTTGTTGAACATCTCAAGTTACATTTTCTCAATGGAAAAACAATGCTTTCCTGTGATCCATTGACCTCTTGGCCGGGCGTTACCGTTTATATATCAGAATTGACAGCTGAATGACAGAGTTGTCACCAGTGCCTCTAACTTAGTAGGATCTCAGGATCTCCTATATTATATTAATGGATACCTTATCTATTCTGCATACAAAGACTCCTCCAGCAATGGATATCACCTGTTAAGATACATGGATGAGGATATCATCTTGCCCACTAACAGATATTGCCAAATCTCCATCACAAGATATCACCTACTTCTGAATTGTTCTGATCATTGAACTGTCCACACAACAACCCTACTACCAAAGACATACTCTTGTAGTTGGAACATGACAACTAAACAATCCACCAGATATTTATCTCAATTCACAATCCAATGTAAACTCTCTCTCGCCACCATCCTGTTAGATAGGTCAGTTAATCTGATATTACAATATATGTAGCATGTAACTTTTTTTGTGATTATTAAATGGTTATTTGTTTTTAACCCTAGAGTCGAGTGCACTACTTCTGTTGCTCTGTCTCTACATACTCCATCTGAAATCTCTCACGCATGTGGCTGCTCGCGTGACCTACTTGCAAACCCAGAACCATTCACCATAACGGCTTCCATGTTGAATGAGACATGGTGGTGTCAGTCTTGACGAGGCATCAAAGAGGTGCCTCTGGTCATACTAGTTAAGTATTGTATTTTAATGTTTAATAAAAACAAAAATCTAAAAATCAGTCTCCATGTATGATAAGCCCTAAATGATAACAGTAACAAAATAATTAAAATCTTTATTGCTAATAAATATAAATTTACCTTCAAAACTCTCCCAATGTTTGTTTGTTGCCTCATAAGCTTTAGCTCTCCGAAGCAATGCTTTAATATATGTTTTATTTAATTCTATTGCTCTGGAACAATCTTCTATGACTTCTTCATAATTTCTCTGAAAAAAAAATATATAAATATTAAACATATACACTTTAATATAATATTTAATACATTTAAAAATTATACAATGACAATGTATAAGTGACATTAAAAAATAATTTTTGAAATTTAGTATATAATAATTCATAAAGTATTATACATTAATTATTTGCTTTTAAAATAAATTCTACTTCAAAAATTTGATAATGGCAATAGATTTGGTCAAAAAGAATTTAAGCCAAATTATAACCAAAATTAATTGAGCTATTAATTATAGCATAATAATATCCCAATTAATTATGGTAATCATTTGGCTTAGTATCACTACATCTAGCTTCAGGGTATTGATATATATAAAAATAATTTATTTTTCATATCACTATTGACAAATATCAATAAATTAAAGTAATTTTTGGATAATTTTAAAGTTATATCAGCATGAGAGTCATAATCACATATGCTAACTTGTGCATAATTTATGTATAGAACAAGAACATTTCCACAACTTAATCACTTTCTCCTAATCATCAAATTTAAAAAGCAGCATTCATTTATAAAATCATTTATATCTGATACTATTACAATCTAATTTAATATTAAACATTTTATTGTTAAATTTTAGACAAGTTTTTCTTTCTTTAACAACTAAAAAGTTTCATTCCTTGAGTTTTATACTAGTTACAAACCTGGAGTTAAAACATCAGTTGTTTTAGTAATTTTATCATATACTTTATTGGCTTTATTCTTTTTACAACATGTAAGCTGCATTAGTCACTGACTGAATGTGTTGCCGACCAACAAACATGATGCCAACTAAATGTTTTCAATATCAATTTTGATCGGCACCAACTGAATGTGTCACCAACTAACATGTTACCAACCAATGCTTTTAATACACCATTTAGAAAAATCCTTATAAAAAGTTTTAACAGGCATTTATTTTAGCTTTTTTTTATTCTGAGTAACATTTTGAATAAAATTCATTTGTTTCCATGTAAATTTATCTTTATAAGTATAAAGTTGTAAAACCAAATTAGCTCTATGGGAAACCCCTGTGAACTTTGACCTATTGACCTGGAAGTTTGGTGAGCACCTCACTGATAAAAAGAAAGACTTAAGTTTAAAATTTGAGCTTTCTAGACCCAGTAGTTTTTTCTCTATGAACATCTGCATAGCTGGATGAAGAAAAAGGCAAAGAAAATACAGCTTTTTTTGGCAATTTTTCCATTTCTTGTATTTCAGCAACCACTTTATAGAAAATTTTGAAATTTTGCACACTATCTAAGAAAACAATTATCTTTCAAATAAGATATTTGCAATTACTTCAGGTGTTTGGGGGTAGAGAAATTGACCCCCAAAAATTGGCAACTCTGATTCCTATATATATATGAGAACCGAATGTTTAGATATAAAAAATATTTACTTATATAATTCAATACTGAACTTTTACAAAAGTTTACAATTAACCAATTCATAATTTGTACAAGTTATTTTTCCACTTTTTATAAATTTTAAAAATCTGACTAAATCAATGCAACAGTTTCTTTATTTACAGCATAACTCTAACCATATAACAAATTCTCTTTTTGTTTATAGCCCAGAATTTGTTTATATAATTTTTATTATTGTAATAACGCAATAAAATTTTATTTATTCAGCTTATATTTCACAAAAGAAAACAATAAAAAAAAGTCGAAATGTTCAAGCATATAACAGATTTCCAAATGTTAAATTTCTCAATGACAAATTTCCAAATCATTATGAAGTAATTAATAAAAATTCATTAATTTCTTATTTAATTGAGAAATAAAAATTTGAATATTGAAATATTAGAAGAGTTTTCAAAAAAAAATTTTATTATAAAATTAAGCATTCAAAATACTTTTTAAAATCATTGTTTATGATGATATACCCAGAAAATTAAAAAATGCTATCAAATGCATTTGTCATTACAATCAGTATTGTTGCTTTTAATGTTTATTTCTTGTTATAGAAGTACTCCCTCTACTTACAAACAGGTTATGTTCCCAAGGTTTTGTCATAAGTCAAAAACTAACTTAGAAAGTACACTTGTACACAGAATAACTTATTGTTAATGTTTGATCCTCTAATGTACTTAATAAAATACATTATGCTCATTTACTTGCTCAATACTTCTTAGTAGCAAGTGTTTCAAATGCAGTTTTTTCATCTAATGCTCTTAGTTTTATAATGTCCAGTTTAGTTTCCATGGTAATAGAGCAACACTTCTTGCATTTATCTCCACTGCTAAATTTATTACTACATATTGAATGCATTTTTGAAGCACTAAATTATAAAAGTTTATAAAAATTGCAAACAATAGCAAAAAACACACATACTCCAATATTACCAACTTCAATGACACCTCACAAGCAGCAATAAAACTTCAGGATTTGTGCAAAAACAAAAAATGGCAATACACAATAGAAATAAGTTCACATTAATTATTTATTAAAAATGTATTATTTATTACTGGTAAAAAAAAAAGACTAATATCACCCCATGAATAATAAGAGACCTTCACAATCCATGTGAAATTAAATTTTACATATATGGTCAAATTGTTCATAAATCTGAATATTCATAAGTTGAATGGTCATAAGTAGGGAAGCAGCTGAACATTATTTCTCCAAAAATCAATCTCAAACAGATTCATAATTTACATAAATAATACAGTGTTAATAACAAACATAATCCGTTAACAAACATAATCCGTTCCAAGACTTTGTTCGCTATCCAAATTGTTCGTTAACCGATTATCGATTTACCATAGGTTTCTATGGGAATTTGATTAATTGGTTCTGGAGACCCCCCAAAATAAAAAAATATATACTTTCTTACTACCTTTATTTATATGTATTGATGATAATAAAAATACATACATACATAGTCTTGCGTTTTTATTAGTCGTGTTTTTTTTTTGTTTGAAAGGGTTAAAGAATCTGTCTAATGTCGATTGCTTTTCTCTCTTCTTCAGGATTTTTCGTAAGTAATTAATAGCATTGCAATTGCAGAAATCCCCAAGCCTTAACCTGGTTTGGATGCCATTCTAAGACCGTTGTTCTGACATCCTCCCACTTCTTCAAAGGATCTTTAATATAAGATATCGGCATTAATCCTCTTTTTCAGAAGAAAACATATCTCGCCGAGTTTCTTGGTGTTCTTCATTCAAGAGTTCTTGGCGTTCTTCTGTCGTCAGATCCATTTCGTGTTCCATTATGAACTGTTCGATATTCTTTATTTCTCAGATGTGATTTTTGTTACTCCTTTAGCTGCTTGAGTCTTCTTGATTATACAGTATGTTTCTTAAATAAGATTGAACTTCAGCCTACTGTAGACCTGTTTACGCCATACTGCCCAGCAACATTAGGCATCTTCTGCCCACTCTCTACCTTTGCTATTATACTCTCACCTTTCGAAAAGAAAAACAGACGCAAAACTTAACGAGTGCCTACCCGACAGTCTCACGAATACATAAAATAATTGTTTTGTCAGAAAAATAAAAGGCTGAAATTACAAGGAAGAGTTTCAAAGTTCGGAGGAATAATATCCGATTGGTATATATCGGCTTGAGCGTCAATGTCGACGTCTCCCACACTCCGAAAAGTTTCGAATTGTTGCCCGAAGACAAGGGAAGACCAATCGGTATTCATTACTTTAAGTCGCTTCTTCTTGTGTTTGTTCTGTGGGGTGTTCATTATCCGATCATGTGTTCGTTGTCCGAACATAAAAATCTTTCGCGAAAGTGTTCGTTATCCGATTTGTTCGTAATGCGATCTGTTCGTTAACCGATCACCCACTGTATATAATAATTAAAAAAAAAAATCGCAGACCTATATATTCCTATTGTCATTGTCTGTCTTCCATCAATCTTGAGAACAAAGTTACAGATGAAAACTGAGACCAGATATGAAAAGCTTGGGGCTGGAGGCCCCAATTAGTTATATATGAACTTCTCTTTACTGAAAGTCATGCAATTTCAGTAAAATTAATGTCTCCTCATATAAATGGTTTTCTAGTCATCTAAAAAGTCATGAAATCTACTCCAAAATGAAAATAATGGAGTAAATGGAAGAGATCTAGTAACCCAAGGAATCTTTTATTAACATTGAGTTATTCAAAAACATTATTATAAAGAATATTCTTTGTCTCTTTTAAACTACTTTAATAGAATAATTGATCATTTGCATATAATCAAGACTCTGGAGTTTTATTTCTAAGTTTTCAAAGAAAAATGCTTGCAAGTCTTTATTCAGGATAATCAGATATACAATATATATTTAGACTGTAAACAAAAATTGGTCAAAACTCTTCCCAACAATGATTTTAAATTGCTTACCTTCATTTTGGACTCATATTCAATATCCTTTTTGTTTACTGAGGTTTCTCAAGCTATTAATTTACTTAACACTTCTACATTTAGTCTTGATTAAATTCCCACAGTTTTCTTTAGATCTTTTAATCTATTTCAGCAGTAATTCTTTATAAACTTTTTACTCATTTTGCTCAATCAAGCTTTGTTCCAAATCAATGGCTTTCTTTGATAATTAGTCCAATTCCTAAAAGAGATAAAAATACTTTTTGTCCTATTAGGCATTCTCCTGCCATATTAAAGATATTTGAAATCTATATATATCATAAAATTTATTCTTCGTTGAAAAATAAACTTTTGCATTTTCAACATTGTGGTATTTGCCATCATTCCACAACTACAAATCTGATACAGACTTTGTCTTTTATCATTAATAGCTTTGAGAATAAGCAATATTTTATATATATTGACATTAGCAGTGCCTTTGATTCTGTTTTACCAAATATTCTTTTTGACTTGCTCTACAAATATAACATCAACCCAGCAATTCATTCATGACTTAATAATTTCTTTTTGCTAAAAAATGTAAAATTAAAATAGGCAATTTTGAATTTCTTAATTTTAGTCCTTCATGTGGTATTCAACAAGTGTCTTTTCTCAGTGGTCTTTTTTCTCAATATATATAAACAATCTTCTTTGCCATCTTAAATCTCACATTGTAGCTTATGCCGACAACATTAATTGATATGTTCCAATCTAAAAATCCTAGTCTTATATTTGCTTACTAAAAAAAATCTACTTAATTCAACTAATCTCAGGATTAATATACAAAAAACTGTGGCTATGTGTTTTGCCCTAATTTGCAATCCTTCTTTACCTACTTTTTTACATTGAAAACACTCCTGTTAATTATGTCATGTCATTCAGCAATTTGGGAATAACCTTTAATACTAAACTTACTTTTAAAAACCAGTGATAAAAAAATAGTTAAATCTTTGGCTATTAGAAATGAAATATTATAGAGATTTTATAAATCTATCTTATCTAAAAGTGCATTAAGAGCTACTTTTGTTTGACTAATTTTCAGTTTTGCATTGATTATGGATTACCCATTTGGTTTACAGTCATGTCTTCTCTTTTGGATAAAATTGCTAGAGCTCTAGAAAATGTTTATTTATCTCTTAATAAATTATGCAATTTACCATACACTCAGAATCCTAAATTTGCAAGGATTAGATTAGGTTTTTCTTTTGTTTTCTCAGCATACGACATATTTCAATTACTTACTTTAAATTTTTAATGGTTTTATTTATTATGATTGGCTATTCTTACATGTTCCTTCAAAAAACTTACAACCTTCATCTTGTGTGTTCATTCCATTTTTTCATTTAAATGTATCTCAAAGGTCCTTTTTTTTTACCATATTTCTTGAAATTTAAATAATTTTGATAATTTTTATTTCTAAATTTATCTTATTTTTTAATTAAAATGTAAAAATGCATTATACAATTTTGAATTTTATTAAATTGTTATTTTTTGCCTCTATTTGTTACATTTAATTGATGTTTGTATATTTGTTAACTTGGGGAAGATATCAATTATCTTTCAGGACTTTTCTGCTTATTTGTAAAAATAAGTAAATTTCAATTCAAAATTCTCTCTAGTATAGAGTTAGACAGATGACAGGCATGACTTCATTGTTATCAGGAGATGTAATGTTGTACAAGGGCCCCACTAAAATGCAGACCCTGCATTTTAGGAGCAGGAGACCCTGATAAACTATATACAAACTTGTCTTAACCAGAAATCAAGTGATTTTTTAAATTGGAAAATGATTAAAAATTGCAGCCCTGCAATGTGACAATGTCACAATAAATAATTGCTAGTTACATTAACACTTTTTAATCAACTGTACAAATTTTGGATTAACAGAATTTTATTACAATGCGATGTGAGTATGTTTACAAAATTTACATTTGGCATGTAAATAGGATAGTTCAGATCACACAGAGAGCCGATAGTTCAGATCTACACTTTTTGTAGGATCTTGTGTCATTTTTCTCAATTTACACTTTTCTTCTATAAGCTCTTTACTTCTTACTCCCTCTGTACTTCTCTTAATCACTGTCCTCTGTGCTTCTCTTAAAGTGTTCTTTTGTTCCAAACTGTTATCTGATGATTCTTAGCTAAGGGTATATATCAGGGATGGCCAATACGTAGACCACGGTCAACCAGTCAACCGCAAAGGTTTTGAAAGTAGACCACGAAGCTAAAGTTGAACAATTTGCTTTCACTTAAATTAATGTTTAAAAATCGTAATTTGATAATTTATTCTTACAATAATAGACTGTCTGTGCAACGTACCCATACTGTTTGTATTTATCCCAATGAACAATGCAAATGAATGTTAACGCATGCGCATATAAAAATCCTAAAATTGTTTGCCCATATTCATAGTCGTCCGCAGACTATATTTTACCAAAAAAGTAGCCCCTAAGGGATAAAAGTTTGGCCACATCTGGTATATATCATCCACAGATGATTTCATATTACTCTGATTAGCTATTTCTAAAGACAATATTTCCTTTTGGTTGGAGGTGTCTGTGATTAGTTCTTTTTAGAGTAAAAGTTTCATTTTACAAAGTTAACATTTCAATTTTTAGTCTTAGTTATTAAGTTTTGTATGTTTAAATAGATTCTGGTCCTCACATCATTAATTAATAATGAATTTTAAAGACAACTTTCATTTTCATTAATTAAAAGTATTAATTAAAATAATTCAAGTGAAAAAAACTTACCAAATTTTCTGAAGCAGCTGCTCTATTTTGGTAAAAAGTTGCCATATCATTTATCTTTGAAGGAGGACAAATCTCTATAGCTTCTGTGTAACAATCTATTGCTTTTTCATATTTTCCATCCTTGAAAAATCTATTTCCTTTATTCTTGTAACTTTTAGCCTTTTCATATGGATCCTATATTAAAAAAGTACTCACATTATTATTTTCAAAAATTAATTTACTAGACAGATAGCTAATTTTTTTAAAACATCATTGTTATAAAATTTCATTTTATTTTGCATCATATATAATTAGCAAATTAATACTCATGATTTTATAAATGAGACAAAAGTAAACACAACTACAGATACACACAAATATTGGGTCTACCGAAAAGTTCTGTCAGTTTCAGTTACAAGTTTCAACAACCATGAGCATATTCATTTGATGCATATTTGGCTTTCTCTTTTTATCACTGAATGTATACATACTGACCTAGCAAATGAACTAAAATGAAGATGATTCATGTTAGTATTAAGTGAGATGCGATTGTATACACTTGGCTACTGATAAAGTTCATTTATGCCACTGTATTTTGTACGAATTCCAACCAGAAAGAAATGCTCCAGAAGCATGTAGAAATTTATTGAAACTGTTTGGTGAAGGTACAGTTTCTGATAGAACATGCAGAAGATAATTCAAAAAATTTCAAATAGATGATTTTGACCTTTCTGATAAGTCACACTCTGAGCGACCATCTTTGATTGACGACAATATTGTCAAGATCATGTTAGAGCAAAATTCTTTTTTGACAACATCAGAGATTGCGGAAAAGCTTGACTCAGCTCAACAAACCATTTCAAATCATATTCGGAAACTAGGATTGGTGTGGAAATATTCGAGATGGGTGCCACATGAGTTAAGTGAGAAGAATCTGAATGATCAAGTCATAATATGCACATCTCTGCTTGCATGGAACAAAATCAAACCCTTCTTGGACCAGATGATAACTGGGGATGAAAAGTGATTACCTATGAAAACATCACAAGGAAAAGGGCATATTGTGAATCTGGAAAACGTGCTTCTCCACCTTCAAACCAAAGTTGAGCCTGAATAAGAGAATGTCGTGTATATGGTGGGAAATTCGAGAATCAATACATTTGAAACAGTACTGTTAAAACTGAACGAAAAGCTAAATTCATAGAGGTACTGTTAGTAATTGGATAATTTAAAAACAGCACTCCAAGAAAAGAGGCCGGCGATGTTCAATAGGAAGGACATCATACTGCTTTATGATAATGCTAGGCCACATACTGCTTTGGGGACTCGTCAAAAACTCGCAGAGCTAGGCTGGGAAATTCTGTCACATTCACCATACTCCCCGGACCAAGCACCCTCTAATTATCACTTGTTTCTGTCCTTACAAAATTTTTTTCAGAGCAAAAAATTCAAAAACAAAGAAGATATCAGACAAGCACTGGTTCAATTTATCGCCTCTAGGGATAAGGCATTTTTTAAAAATGGGATATACAAATTGCCATCACACTAGCGAGAAGTCATAAATAATGATGGAAATTATATTATTCAATAAAGTTTATTCAACGTATGAAAAATTTATTATTTCGTTTTATTCTAAAAATGGACAGAACTTTCCAGTAGACCTAATACTTTCAATTGCAAGTAGAAGTACAGGTATTCCTTGTTTAATGCGGTTAATTAATCACTCAATGTAACAATGTATATCAAAATCGAATTAATCAAATACAGTATCTATATTAAATAAAGAAGCTGGTAAAGCCACGTTAATTAAAACTTCTGCCACGTATATAAAGGGATTGCCACAATTAATTTCATGTATTAATCAAATCCTGCATTAAGCAAGAGATACCTGTAATTCAAACTTTTAAAACAATAAATTTGTATAAAATGAATTTAAAATAAATGTATTTTTAAAAAATTATTATTATAAAACTCTTAAANATTATACATTAATTATTTGCTTTTAAAATAAATTCTACTTCAAAAATTTGATAATGGCAATAGATTTGGTCAAAAAGAATTTAAGCCAAATTATAACCAAAATTAATTGAGCTATTAATTATAGCATAATAATATCCCAATTAATTATGGTAATCATTTGGCTTAGTATCACTACATCTAGCTTCAGGGTATTGATATATATAAAAATAATTTATTTTTCATATCACTATTGACAAATATCAATAAATTAAAGTAATTTTTGGATAATTTTAAAGTTATATCAGCATGAGAGTCATAATCACATATGCTAACTTGTGCATAATTTATGTATAGAACAAGAACATTTCCACAACTTAATCACTTTCTCCTAATCATCAAATTTAAAAAGCAGCATTCATTTATAAAATCATTTATATCTGATACTATTACAATCTAATTTAATATTAAACATTTTATTGTTAAATTTTAGACAAGTTTTTCTTTCTTTAACAACTAAAAAGTTTCATTCCTTGAGTTTTATACTAGTTACAAACCTGGAGTTAAAACATCAGTTGTTTTAGTAATTTTATCATATACTTTATTGGCTTTATTCTTTTTACAACATGTAAGCTGCATTAGTCACTGACTGAATGTGTTGCCGACCAACAAACATGATGCCAACTAAATGTTTTCAATATCAATTTTGATCGGCACCAACTGAATGTGTCACCAACTAACATGTTACCAACCAATGCTTTTAATACACCATTTAGAAAAATCCTTATAAAAAGTTTTAACAGGCATTTATTTTAGCTTTTTTTTATTCTGAGTAACATTTTGAATAAAATTCATTTGTTTCCATGTAAATTTATCTTTATAAGTATAAAGTTGTAAAACCAAATTAGCTCTATGGGAAACCCCTGTGAACTTTGACCTATTGACCTGGAAGTTTGGTGAGCACCTCACTGATAAAAAGAAAGACTTAAGTTTAAAATTTGAGCTTTCTAGACCCAGTAGTTTTTTCTCTATGAACATCTGCATAGCTGGATGAAGAAAAAGGCAAAGAAAATACAGCTTTTTTTGGCAATTTTTCCATTTCTTGTATTTCAGCAACCACTTTATAGAAAATTTTGAAATTTTGCACACTATCTAAGAAAACAATTATCTTTCAAATAAGATATTTGCAATTACTTCAGGTGTTTGGGGGTAGAGAAATTGACCCCCAAAAATTGGCAACTCTGATTCCTATATATATATGAGAACCGAATGTTTAGATATAAAAAATATTTACTTATATAATTCAATACTGAACTTTTACAAAAGTTTACAATTAACCAATTCATAATTTGTACAAGTTATTTTTCCACTTTTTATAAATTTTAAAAATCTGACTAAATCAATGCAACAGTTTCTTTATTTACAGCATAACTCTAACCATATAACAAATTCTCTTTTTGTTTATAGCCCAGAATTTGTTTATATAATTTTTATTATTGTAATAACGCAATAAAATTTTATTTATTCAGCTTATATTTCACAAAAGAAAACAATAAAAAAAGTCGAAATGTTCAAGCATATAACAGATTTCCAAATGTTAAATTTCTCAATGACAAATTTCCAAATCATTATGAAGTAATTAATAAAAATTCATTAATTTCTTATTTAATTGAGAAATAAAAATTTGAATATTGAAATATTAGAAGAGTTTTCAAAAAAAAATTTTATTATAAAATTAAGCATTCAAAATACTTTTTAAAATCATTGTTTATGATGATATACCCAGAAAATTAAAAAATGCTATCAAATGCATTTGTCATTACAATCAGTATTGTTGCTTTTAATGTTTATTTCTTGTTATAGAAGTACTCCCTCTACTTACAAATAGGTTATGTTCCCAAGGTTTTGTCATAAGTCAAAAACTAACTTAGAAAGTACACTTGTACACAGAATAACTTATTGTTAATGTTTGATCCTCTAATGTACTTAATAAAATACATTATGCTCATTTACTTGCTCAATACTTCTTAGTAGCAAGTGTTTCAAATGCAGTTTTTTCATCTAATGCTCTTAGTTTTATAATGTCCAGTTTAGTTTCCATGGTAATAGAGCAACACTTCTTGCATTTATCTCCACTGCTAAATTTATTACTACATATTGAATGCATTTTTGAAGCACTAAATTATAAAAGTTTATAAAAATTGCAAACAATAGCAAAAAACACACATACTCCAATATTACCAACTTCAATGACACCTCACAAGCAGCAATAAAACTTCAGGATTTGTGCAAAAACAAAAAATGGCAATACACAATAGAAATAAGTTCACATTAATTATTTATTAAAAATGTATTATTTATTACTGGTAAAAAAAAAAGACTAATATCACCCCATGAATAATAAGAGACCTTCACAATCCATGTGAAATTAAATTTTACATATATGGTCAAATTGTTCATAAATCTGAATATTCATAAGTTGAATGGTCATAAGTAGGGAAGCAGCTGAACATTATTTCTCCAAAAATCAATCTCAAACAGATTCATAATTTACATAAATAATACAGTGTTAATAACAAACATAATCCGTTAACAAACATAATCCGTTCCAAGACTTTGTTCGCTATCCAAATTGTTCGTTAACCGATTATCGATTTACCATAGGTTTCTATGGGAATTTGATTAATTGGTTCTGGAGACCCCCCAAAATAAAAAAATATATACTTTCTTACTACCTTTATTTATATGTATTGATGATAATAAAAATACATACATACATAGTCTTGCGTTTTTATTAGTCGTGTTTTTTTTCTGTTTGAAAGGGTTAAAGAATCTGTCTAATGTCGATTGCTTTTCTCTCTTCTTCAGGATTTTTCGTAAGTAATTAATAGCATTGCAATTGCAGAAATCCCCAAGCCTTAACCTGGTTT